GTCTCTCTCCCTATCATCCCCCCTCCTTTGGACAGACAAATAATGCCTGGGGGGGGAACCCAGCGTTGCCCACTTACGTGACGTACAGCTCATTCCACATTAATATTTCCCTCTGGCAGCAGCCCTACAAGAAAGTGTGGCCCCAACCATCCAGATGGTTGCCCAGTTTCCAACTCCTCCTCGTCTTTTCGTTCCTTTCAGCTGGGGGGGAGGGCGGACAGCAAGAGAGCACAGCACAGAACACTGCATGACAGCTTTGATCTTTTGTGTGCCCCTCCTTCCCCCCACATACAGGCACACGGACCACGCCTCTCAATCTGTCTTCCAGGAGGAACTTCATATCCACCCCCATATAATGAGTCTGCATTTGTAACAAGCAGGAGAAAAAAAGACAGAGGGATATTTTTTGCAAAATCTCTCCTCCTCCCTATTTGCTCATCTCCCGGTCCCATACGCCCTGCCAAAATAACACTTATTTGCTGCATTTCAGTGCTGAAACGGCCCATTTCACTTTCAAAAGATGGACCTCGAAGAGACGCAGGTCTTCAGGCAAATGGTACTTCTCTAAAGTGATGTAAGCTATTCCTGAACCTCTGGAGCTGATCCACCTACGGAGAGGGTAGGAAACAGCCTCCGACCAACCCGTCCCGCCACCAGCTCCCCATGAAAGGAGGTCACCGGGCAGGAAAAGGGAAGGAGGAGAAAGCAACTGAGGATTTATGACTGACAGCTCTCTCTTCCAACCATAATGTTTTTAAAACAGGACTCTCTTTATTTCCTTTCAGTCCCTCTGCTTTGGGGAGGGAGGCAGAATGAGCTGACAGAAATGGACCCGGGGCTCCCCAGCACTATCTGGGAGATGCCTGGACATGTGGCAGCCTGCTCAGGTGAGTGCTCTGACCTGCTCCTCTAAAGCATCCACTCCCGTGGCCCTCATTCTCCGGCTGCCTGGTAAAGCAAAGGGCGCAAGCTGTCCTCCGGCTAAAGGCGGTGCTTGCCAGCATCTTAGGATCAGGGCTCCCAGCACCAGAGTTGTGGCTACAGAGAGCTGGGAGGGCCTCACCATTCCACCCTGTTGCTCCCTCTCCTGCTGTGTAATGTAAGAATTGGTGGGGGTTGGCGTCTTACCTGGCAAATGAAGTAAAAATGGGTCCCTCCCTCTGCTTAAATAATGTAAGAAGGCGCTAGACCAGTGTTTCTCAACCTTGGCACCTTTAAGATGGGGGACTTCAGCTCCCAGCTGGCTGGGGAATTCTGGGAGCTGAAGTCCTCCCATCTTAAAGGTGCCAAGGTTGAGAAACACTGCCCTAGACTGACAGAGTTAACAAGCAAATGGAGTTTTATGACTGCACCTAAAAACCTTGCAATGTTGCTGGTGTTTCAAAAACAAGAACCCTGTGAATTGTCACCTCTGAAAAGCACTACTGATTTGAAATGCTCCTGCTTTCCACGTCCACGTGAACTGGCACTGGATAGCGTACACGGCCAGAACCTGTCATTCATCAAAGCACCGCTGAGCTTGACTTTCATCCCAAATGTAAGAGGAGCTACGGCTGTCACTAGGACAGTCAGTGGGGGTCTCCAAAGCACTGGGCTTCTCAGGTGAGGACCTGCTTGGACCCAAGGTGAAGAGGTGCCTTCTCCACAATGGAGCAGGTCAAATTCACCATTCAAAACCAGAAGGGAACGAAATGTTGGTTTCTGCCAACAGCCAGGACCTAAGAAAGGGCAGGATGAGAAACACACCTCTTCTTCCTCCTCCTCGCCTTTTTCAATTATGTGAAGCAGCTTCTTCTTCTCATCTTCTGCCTCCTCCGCAGCAGGGGGCTCTTCTTCCCGGTAACGGCCACGCTCCCGAGAACTGGCTTGCTTGTGCCGCACTTTAAGATCCTCCTCCTCATCTTCACGTGTTCTTTTTGTTCCCCTGTTTGGCTTTACGAAGAAGAAATTCAAGCAGTCAGCAAAGAAAAGCAACCCATCCTCGCCTCTCACAGGCCCAAAATGGAAACCACCACCCAGGTCGTTGCTTGAGTCTTAGCCTTAAAGACATCCCGAGCTCAGGTTAAAGCAGCAAGAGAAGCAGTGATAGGATTTTGCTCAGTTGCTCAGAACAGGGATGGGGGACAACTCCGGTGGTCCTTGCAATCTCTTTGTGCCCACCTGTGCCATAGGGAGACCAGGAAATGCTGGCAAGAACCTCCAGAAGGACAGCGTCCCCCCCCCCTTGCCAGGGCAAGAGGCCACACGGCCACTTCCCAGATGTGAAAAGAGCTGCCTCCAATATGCCCCCCTTGGGAATCTCGCCTCGCCTCGCCTCGCTCCCTTCCTTCTTTCCTTCCCTCCTAAGAAGAGGCCAGGGCAGCACGGGCTGCAGTGCCAACTTCGGAACAACTGGGGGAAAATATCACAGCTGCCTGGAAATGCGGCTTTGCCTTCAAGATGAAGCCGGCGGTGCCCCTGGCCTGCAAGAAAAGCGCCCCCGTGCCGAGAATACCCAAGAGGAGGACAGCCTCAAGCAGAACCGCACGCTAGAAAAATTGTGTCCTCGTGCGGAGACAAGAAAAGAACAACACGCGCACAAGGATAACCACAGGTGGGAAGGGGGCATCCCTTACTCTCAGCTTCCTCCCAAATTTCCTCGGGTTGTTTCAGCCACTTTTCCCGCCAAAAAGAGACTGGATGTAAGAAAAAAGTGATGATTTTTTCTTCACCCACTGATTAAGGGGAAAACATTCCAGCAAAGAGAATGTTCCCCCAAATCTATCTTTGTGTGCAGAGAAAAAGTCTTTTGCACGCTTCAAATGGCCACTGAGAAGTTACAAAATGGTTGTAAAGATTTGCCTTTGACGGCTTCTCAAGGCCATGTACACCTCCAGCTGCTGCTTCCTGTATTTCTCCCTTCGTTTTTTTTTAATTAAAAAGGCAGTGAGACTACAGCTGTAATGAAGGGCTTAGGGGAACACACGGTGTGGTTAGACACAAAGTAATGTACCATGGAGGAGCCTCCATCACCAGAACTGTTGCTAAATTAAAATTCCCCTACAACGCCAGCCCGTTTCCTCAGAGCCCACAATCAAACGGCCTTTATTGGCAGTTGCAATCAGCCTGGACCTCGACTGAGAGCGCGTGGGAGGGGCGACATCTTCCCTAATATGCAATACCAGAGTCATTATGACCAATTATGAAAGAGCTCAGAGTGTAAGTATTAACGCTGCCCACACATTTGCACCTGAACACCAGGGAATTCCTAGGCAAAGATGATGAAATTCAGAGTTGCAAGATGCGTTCCCTCCCTCCCTCTTCCCTGCCAAGTACCAAAAATAAAAAATCATAAAAGAAAACCATCACGCAAGGGAGCCACATATAAATCTGTACGGCATCCGGCTCAGCATTCACCTCCGGTGCATTAGCGCACATCGATGCAGCATCCTGGCACGATGCCCAAGGGAAGAGGCAAGTCTTCAGGACCGAAGGGCCGGAGCCCTCCAGACCGGGGCGGGGGAGCGTGTTCACTACAGGTTCTGCTCTGAACCGCACCCAGTGAGACGGACCCAGGCTCGGAAGAGCCACAGAAGCCCCGGTCTCTGGGCTCGGGTGTCTTTTAGATCTCCCCGTGAGGGTTGGGGAGATGTTGAAACTCAACATTAAAAAAACTAAGATCATGG